GGGGGTGCTCGCGTAGCTTAGGCTCTGGCTAGATTTCACTATTGCTGTTCCCTACACCCTGAACATGCTCTGAATTTTTCTGCTTCCCTGCTTTTGTTTATACTCAAAGTACCTCTCCAAGTCGTGGCTCTGTGGACTTTGGGTTGGAGTTACTGGTGCCTTGTCTCTTCTCTCTTGTGAGCCGGTAAGGTCCTTGTGGGCATCAGCTCATAATGGTTTCTTCATTTGTGAAGAAGCATTGCATTTGGTATATCACGTTATCAGTTATCTAGCACGTGCAATGGCCTCTGCAAATGTGAGTAAATTCCTATTTATCTCGTCTCGCTGAACATTTTCCATTATTAGCTTCTTGCATTAGTGTGCTACATTATCAGGAACCAATCGATGTCAATACATTGCTATTGTACAATAAGCCAATATTGGTACATTATTAACGTAAGTCCATAGTTTACATTAGGGTTCACTCTGTGTTGTACAGTTTTATGGGTTTTGACAAATGCATAATGTTATGTATGCACCATTATAGCATCACACAGCATAGTTTCACCATGCTACAAGTCCATTCTGCTCTACCTATTCAGTCCTTATCCCTTCTTCCTGAACTCCTGGCAAACGCTAATCTTTTTATTGTCTCTGTAGTTCTGACTTTTCCAGAATGTCATATAGTTGGAATCATATGGTATATAGCCATTTCAGGCTTGCTTCCTTCACTTACCAATATTCATTTAATGTTTCTCTCTGTCTTTTTGTGGATTGAAAGTTAATTTCTTTTTATTACTGAATAGTTTTCCATTGTGTGGATGTATCACAGCTTGTTTATCCATTAATCTCTTGAGAGACATCTCGGTTGCTTCCAGTTTTTGGTAATTATGAATAAATTGCTGCTGTAAACATTCATGTGCAGGGTTTCGTGTGCTGGAACATACAGTAAAACTGTGTTTAACTTTGTAAAAAACTGTCAAACTGTCTTCCAAAGTGGCAGAACCATTTTGTACCCCCACCAGTGATGGATGCAGGTTCCTGTTGCTTCCCATTCTCAGCAGCGTTTGGTGGTGTCAGTGTTTGGATTTGGGCCATTCTAATGCTAGGTCAGGTGTTATGTTTCCATTTTATGGATGAGGAAGCCAAAGCCTAGAAAGAAGTGACCGTAAGGACATGAACAGAAATTTTTCAAAAGAAGACAGAATAAAGGCCAACAAACATATGAAAAAATGCTCAACATCTCTTATCAGCAGGGAAATGCAAATCAAAACTGCAGTGAGATATCACTTATCTCCAGTAAGAATGGTCTTTATCAAAAAGTCTCCAAACAATAAATGCTGGCGTGGATGCGGAGAGAGAGGAACACTCCTACACTGCTGGTGGGACTGCAAACTGGTTCAGCCTCTGTGGAAAGCAATATGGAGATACCTTAAAGTGATACAAGTAGATCTACCATTTGATCCAGCAATTCCACTATGGGCATCTACCCAAAAGATCAAATGACACTCTACAGATGGGACACCTGCACTCGAATGTTTATAGCAGCACAGTTCATAATTGCAAAGGTGTGGAAACAACCCGGGTGCCCATCAATACATGAGTGGATTAATACAATGTGGTATATGTATACCATGGAGTACTATTCAGCTTTAAGAAACAATGGTGATATAGCACCTCTTGTATTTTCCTGGATAGAGCTGGAACCTATCCTACTAAGTGAAGTATCTCAAGAATGGAAAAATAAGCACCACACGTACTCACCAGCAAATTGGTATTAACAGATCAATACTTAAATGGACATATAGGAGTAACATTTATCGGGTGTCGGGCTCGTGGGAGGGGGAAGGGGATATCATGGGTAATATACATAACCTTAAGATTTGTACCCCTATAATATGCTGAAATTAAAAAAAAAAGATGTGAACTCAGGTCTTCCTACTTTTGGCAAAGGCTCTTCACCACATTCTCCATTAATACACAGAAAGCAAAGCAAAGCAAACAGAAAACCAAATCATTGTTAAAAGTAGAAGGTGGTTCTCAGGCATCTTCTGGGAAGCAGCTGTGAAGAGGTTGAGTACACAGTCTTCTGGGGAAATCCTATTAGCCAGAGCATCCTGTTCCTGTTTTTTCTATCCCGTTGTCTTGAGTGTTGCTAACAGAAAGGGGACTGCGGGGCTTACGCGGTCTCCTCAGACTAAAGGGAGAAGGGAAGGCATTTTCCTCTTCGATCCCTTTCTTTGCCTCTTGCTGCTTGTGCCCTGCAAATCTCCAGGGCCCCTGGGTGCCAGCCCCGGATGAGAAGCTACGGCTCATTAATCCTCTTGCTCTGCCCCTCCCCACCAGACACTGTTTCCTGGGAGGATTTCTGAATGGGATTTCCATGGAAGGTTCCAGATGGGCAAAGAAACAGCCCACTTCAGAAAGAAGGGATCTAGACTATTATAAAATCCTGTAGTGCCCAAGAGGGTGAGAGATGGAGAGATTGGGGGCTGACTACTTTCTGCCTTGATTTGTCTCTGAGTATTTCTGATCCTCAAGTCACCTACAGTATTCATTACTGCACTTCTGTTGTCTTTCTTTTCAAAATCCAAGCCTATCTACTTTTGACTTTATGAACTGTAAGGAAGTTTTTGTTTCACAGCACAGAATTTTACTTTCTCATCTCCTCCTGTTCTCTTCACTCTTTTCCCTCCTCCAAATGTCAGTTTTTTGTGTTTTTTTTTTTGTCAACCAAAGATAAATGTGTGAAGGCCAGATGTGGCTCTGGGCCACCGAGATGTGGTGCTGGTGTGTCTGACCCTCCTGAGAGCCGCGTGGTCTTGCCGAGCTCAGCCGTGGCACATCCGGAGAGCCCGATGTCCTGTGCTTTGTCCTGGAGTGCTGGCTTGTGCGGTGACTGCTTTTCTATCTGCTGTTTCTCGGGTGTTGCCAATCAACGGGAGGCTGTGTGGTCCAGAGACTTCTTGGATCAGAAAGGGGCATGGAGGGAGAATCCAGTTACTTTCCCAGCCTCCAGGCCAGGAATAAATTCTCCTCATCCAGAGGAGTTTACTCTTGTTTTTCTTTTAAGATCTTCACGAATGAACACTTTAAAAATAACACTAACTGGTCTTAAATATTTCTATAGTTAAAAAGGTTTTTTTGAATGTTTAGTGTAACAACAAAGCTTTAACTAAAGACTTTATTCCTTATAGAGAAGGAGACCAGCTTCTTACTCTGCTCACTTTATAACAGTTGCTTCCCTTCATAAAGAACCTGACTTTCAGATTTGCCTTGTTGTGTACAAACACTCCTGAGTGTCAAGGCGGACAAGCTTTAGCTGCGACCACAGCGGTGTCAGTAAGCTGGTATGGAGCAAGTGGGGAGCCCTTTTTGCTCTGGGAAAGATGGAGAAGATTGTTTATAACTTAATCTTTGAGAATAAACTATTAACATTTGGAGAATCCAGATGAAGGTGGGAACTTATATGGGAATTCTTTCGGTCTAAAATTATTTCAGCATAAAAAGTTGAAACGCTTTTTTCCAAGAAGCGATTTAAATCTTAAGTTCTTTGGTTTTTAGGAAATTGGTGAAGCTGGGTGTGGTGGCGTGCACCTGTAGTCCCCGCTTACTTGGGAGGCTGAGGCGGGAGGATCACTTGGCCAGCTTGGATAACATAGTAAGATCCCATCTCTAAAAAAAAAAAGGTTGCTGAGTGTGAGAAAGGGCCTTAACATACTCTGACTTTCCTTTTCATTATGCCCCTGCAGCAGCCTTGACATTTCACGAGCTCCCAAGGATGGAGGGACCTTGAATCCCATGTAAGAGGCCAACCAGACCAAGTGGAGGCTGCTTGCAGTGGGCACTGAGAGGTGTCGCCCTTCAGGGTTATCCAAGAGGCTGCCAGGCTAGAGGGGTCCACCAGAGAAGGAAGGGGAGACCCAGAGGGCAAGGAGCACACATGCTGCTTGGGACAATGGTGTAGAGTTGTGTGAGAACTGAGAAGGGAACAACGTCTGGGTAAACGACATCCTGTCATTTCCAGAGTCTGCTGAACTAGAAACTGTCAGCCCTTGGGCAGATTCACCTTGTAGGAGCCTCGAGAAACACTTTTCCAGATCCTTATTCCTTGGGCACGGGAGCGAGGCTAGACAGGTGGTGTTACTCCCATTTTGCAGAAGAGAATAGCAAAGTCCAAGGAGATGATGCCATTGACCCAAGGACACAACTCGTAAATGGCAAAGCCCGGATGTGACCCTAGGTTCCTTCTTTCTGAAGTATATGATATTTCAGTGAAAATAATGCTCCGCAATGGCAGGATGATGGTCTGGGCAAACGTCAGGGTGGGTATTGCCCTTGGCATTTCCCTTGTGTGGACCTGAGGCTTGTGGGTTTTGTCCTGTTCTAGTTGTCCCCACATTCCCCTCTGTCTTACAGCTCCATGGGCCTGGCTGCTACGGACTGTTCCTAGTGGCGGTGGGGCCAACCTGTTGCCACCACACCTGGACGGAGGCTTAGCTGGGCCTCCTCATGAACAGAGACTCAACTCTAGTAGACTTGACTTTGGGCAAGAAAGGACGATCCCATCTTTAGGCCTTCTAATGTTGACTTCCTGCAAGAACCCCCAGCGAGTTCCAGCCACGCGGCGGTTCTGACCCACTTTTGTTCGACAGAGCTGAGGGGGGGGGCGAGGTCTGCAACCCTGTCCGTCTGCGCCCTGCAGGGAAACGAGCTCTATTAAGTAGGCAGGTCCCAGTGAGGCTTTTCTGCAGTGCCATTATTAATCTCGAAAAAAATGTAAACTCAGATCTCTCTGTCCTATTTTCGTCTGTGTGGATGTTCGGGACAGAGGATCTCACAGGGCGATGCCTTTGCTGCTGGATTGAAAGGCCGAGTTTCCCTTTAGTCAGGATGTCTCTGTCTCTGTCTGTCTCTCTTCCTCCCCCGCCTCCCGAGGACTGCTATGGCACTGGCTCACAGAAGGGCAGGAGTGTGTTATAACTTTGTTTCCTTATTAACTTCTGCTTTTTTTGGAACAGAGCAGCACTTTCCAGAGGTGATGCTGGGGGAAGAGTTTCTTAGCCTAAGTCTGGACCAGGTGTGCAGCTTGATATCCAGTGACAAGCTGACCGTTTCTTCGGAAGAGAAGGTACGGCACGACTCTGGTGAGACAGGGGCCTCACCTGTCAGGTGGTCATGGGTGGGACTTGTGGTTTGGTAAGATCTATTTTTTTTTTTCCCAGAGAGAAAAAAAGCTTTTTTAAAAAAATTCCTTTAAACAAAATAAAACAAACAAAAAATCAAACAAACCTTCTGGCCCATGGCCACTACATTCTGGACTCTTTAAAGAAGAAATGACAGTGGTGATGATGATGATGACAAAGCTACCCCTATTTACTGAACATTTACAGTTGGCCAAGCACTGTGCTAAGTGCTTTATGGTCTTCAGTTCTTCCGACCTTCACCATCACCCTGTGAAGCAGGCGTTGCTGTGGTCCCTGTATTACAGAAGAGAAAGCTAGTTCAGATCCCTCTTCTCCCAGGAAAAATTTCTTTACTCCAGGAGATGTAGTCTACAGTGGCGAAAACAGTGTAAGCTTTACTGTTGGCCAGCAAGGTCCAGATCTCATCTCTGGAGCTTACAAATTAGTTATGTGACCCTGGCCAGATTCTTGGCCTGTCCTCTGTTTCTTCATTTGTAAAGTGAGGATAAGTGAGTATTAGAACATACTCCACAGGGTGATTACATGGGTTATGTAGTAAAATGTCTGGTATAGGACCTGGTACCTGGCAGGAATTCAGTGTTAGCTCAGTTTATCATTGACCCTGCACCTGGAATTAATGCCTTTCTCCTCCATGTTCCAGGATAGTATTCTCCTTGTTCTCCCTTTTCTTGTATGTAGTTAATTCTGAGCCACTTTTCGTCCCACACTCAACTGTGAGTTCCCTGATGGTAGAGACTATGTCTTATTCATTTCTGTATCCTCAGAGATGCCCAATAAATGCTCCTTGAATCATCTTAGTCCACTCTTAGCATCCAGGCTTGAGGTGCTTTCCTTTTTTATATCAGAGAGAAAACTGAGCAGAGAATAGGGTAAAATTCGCAAGCCCCTGCCTGCCATCCTAGAAAAGTTTGATGAAGAAGAAAAGCGGTTGTCTGATAGAACTGTGGGCTTCTCCGAATCTTCCAAAGGATCCCACAAGGGGACTGGCATGGCCAGCTGGATTCTCCCGTGGTGGGCTCAGGAAGGCCTCTGCTTCCACTGATCCTGATGGGAATGGCACCTTCGGAGAAGAGGGTGCCTTTGGCCAGGCCATAGGCCCCTTCCCACCTTAAACTCAGGAACAGAGGATGTCCTTGTTTCTTGCCAGGCATGTTTACTGCCTTCTCTGGATTTTGTGACCAAATTGGCACAGTGAGCTGGGGGACCTGTAGCCTCAGGGCCACATGTGGCCTTCTGGATCCTTGAGTGCAGCCTTTTGCCTGAATCCAAATTTCACAGAACAAGTCCCTCTAATAAAGGATCCCTTTTAATAAAGGGATTTGTTCTGTGAAGTTTGGATTCGGTCAAGGGTCCGCACTTGGGGATCTGGAGGGCCACACGTGGCCCTCAGGCCACAGGTTTCCTGCCCCTTCCCAGTTAGTTGATTGGCTGTGTAGACATTGAGACAGTTGGTCATTTTGGGGCCTTCTTAAGCATGTTCTCAAGTGTAGACTGAAAAATATAAATGGCAGAATTTGGATCAATTTGGGGATATTTGGGTTGAGAGTAGGGGGACCCTGTCACCTGAATTCATGCTGGCCCATCCTGCTCCCAGATCATAGAGAGTTTTCTTTAAGTGAAGATTTATCTGAGCTGGCCGTGTCAAGTGGGGTTGAGGGTAGGGTGGACTGTTTGTGGAGAGGCGTTATAGTGCCCTGGAAACCACTCAGGCTTTGGGCACAGGCAGTCTGGGTTCTAGCCTCTGCTTACTGGCTGTCTGACCTTGAGAAGCCACGGTCTCTTTGAACCGTAGTTTCCTCAGACGTGAAATGGGAATTCTAAGAGTACCTCTCTTATAGAGTTGTCACAAGGCTTAGAGATAATGGATATAAAATACCAGTGCAGTGTTTGGCAGGTGCCCAATAAATGGCACTTATCATTGTAATTGCCATATCCTTATCCTTTTGAGGCACCATATCCTTTTGAGGCACCATTAAAAATGATAATGGTATCAATTTTGCCATTGATAATAGTAAAATATGCCCTTGAGTTAATTATATCTTCCCAGAAACAAAGAAACATGACTTTGTTTACACTTAAAAAATTGTCTGTCGCAGCTCTCATTAATTTACATGCTTACATATGAGTTGCTCTTTTTGTATAACCAGCGTTTGGAATATAGTTATTTTTCACATTAATGAAATTGTGCATCATATTTGCTTCTTTGAAATTATGTGTTACTTAAGAATTATGTGCTGCTTTTCATAAAGTTGATTACTTCTGATCTTGATCCCTTTAGCACCTTTGATGTTGACAGCGTCAGTTTTAAGGCCTGTGAAAGAACAGTAGGGTTTGTTCTGCATTTTCTCTGGCTAAACTCATAGTTTTATTTCCCCTTAATTGATCATACATTGCTGGAAGTTACATAGCTGGAAGCTTCTGATAATTGGCTGTTTTTCATTTGAATGCTAGTCCTTCAGGCTTTGAAAATTCTGTGTCAGTTCCAGGAGACTTGGTGATTTTTGCTCCCTTTAATTACATTTTGTGTGATAAGTAATCTCTTGCATGCTTAATAGCCTTTCCTTTCAATACCATTTTATAGTGGAATTTTTTAAAGTATTTGAATTAATGTTATGGATCTTAAGTTAACATTCAACTGCACATCATGTTACATTTGCAGAAAACTGAGTTGGTAATCAAATGATGACTTGTGTTCAGATAAATCCACACCTCGGAACAGTGATATCAGCTATATTATGACTTACTCTCAGTCTGTAGCCCACTGGTTTCTTTCAACATATATTATAAAATGTAAAAAGCTTCTGCCCAGCTAAGGAAAAAATCGACATAGCAAATAGGCAACTTACAGAATGGGAGAAAATATTTGCACACTATACATCCAATAAAGGACTAATATCTGGAATCTACAAAGAACTCAAATCAGCAAGAAAAAAAAAACAACTCCATTAATAAGTGGGCAAAAGACATGAACAGAAGTTTTTCAAAAGAAGATAGACAAATGGCCAAAAAACATTTGAAAACATGCTCAATGTCACTAATTATCAGGGAAATGCAAATTAAAACCACAATGACATATCACCTTACCCCCGTCAGAGTGGCTTTTATTAAAAAGTCCATGCCTTCTTATGAAATACTATTGAGGCTTTTCAGAGACAGCTCTGGGTGAGTACTATTAATAATAGGAAAATGGCCTGCATTTTAGATATAGGTCAGGAATAAATTGGTTAAGTCTCTAAAAAAATTAATGTCAAGAATATGTTATAATGAGAACTACAGGTTAGTTTCTCTCTGCCTTGTGGCATTTTTAAATGTGTTGTTGTCTCCTGAAACTCTATTTCAGGGACCAAATTCTGATATCTTATCTCTTGGGAGGGAGTACCCTCTTGACTTCTTATACCTTGGATGAGTTTTACCAGTTTTGAAACTTTATGTAAATGGAATAGTGGTATGTGTATGCTTTTGTTTCTGACTTCTTTTGCCCGGAACGCTATTCAGCACATTATTTCTATTCTTCATAACAACTTGCAAGGTAGAGATTATTGTTTCCACTTTTCAGAGGAAGAAACTGAGGCTCAGAGTGGTGATGCAGCTCATTAACAATAGATAGCTCTGTGGTTTGAAGCTGAATGTGTCTGCTTCCCACGCCCCTGCTCTTCATTAATGTACCCCCACCTCAGCAGGAGGATGCGGAGATGAGTGACACCTCGTCTTTACTATTCAAGAGCTCATAGTCTGGTGGCCAGACAGACTCAAAACATGTATCCATAGTATGTGGCTAAGGGCAGTAATTGCTTATCATCAAAGTTCAAGTAAAGTACCCTGGAATATTTTATTTCAGGTTGTCAGAGGGAGAATTCATCATGGAGTAGGGAATATTTTAGCTGAAACTTGGAGAATGAAAATAGGATTTTGGAAAGCTGTTTCAGGTTGGAGGAATAGGAGGAATAAAGATATGGAAATTTGGAATAATACTGTACTTGGGGGGGAAAAGTAACCTTTGTGATGAGAATCCCAGGTCTCTGAGGGGGATAATGGGAGACGAGGCTGGGAATGGAATAGGGATCTATAAGAAAGCCAAAGAGCACTTTCTTCCTTAGGTCAGTGTTTGCCCAACTGTGCCCCATAAAACTACGATATTGGAAGATGTTTATAGGTGTTTGGGTTAAAGAAAAAACTGTTCTCAGGTCAGACATATGTAAGAGACGCTGGCTAAACAAAGTAACCTGGTTTCTTTACTGCAGGGCATGTCAGAGCTTTTGTATGGTAATGAGCTTTGTGAGTCTTTAAAGGGGTTTGGGAACACAGTATGATGTGTTCCCAGGCTCGTTTGGCCCTTGAACCACTTTACTATAGGATGTCTCCTGCATTGAGTATTCTTAGGAACGTATTATGGAGAAGAGTCTTCAGGCCACCTTTCTTTGCTCACGCCAGATATTCTACTCGTTATTGCATCTGTTGATATTTCTTTTGGCAATTAATTTCCTTAGGGATTTATAATTTTTTATTGTGACTTCATGTTCAGAGGGTGTTATATCCATTGGAGTCTAGATTGCCCTGGGCTTTGGAAGTACCACTATAGACAGGCAGGTTTACTGGCTTGGAAATGGTTTTGGTGTTATTTTGTACCTTGGGTATTCCCTATACTCAAGGATAAAGTGAGTTCAAACCCCACATCTGTATGTGGGTTGAGCCTGGGGTTCAGATTTCTTGAAGGTGTAGTTTTTACTCCCTGTCTTTCCCCAACCCCCCACACCCCTCAGCCCACAAGAGATAGCAATCTTCCTTCCCCTTTCTCATAGCAGATGGGCAGAGTTTACCTAGTTCTAGTTTTACAGCTCGCACAAAACTGTCCACAAACAGCCTGTGGTCTAGACACTGTACCCAACAGGACAGTAATCCTCAGCTTAGAAGCCCATACCTGAAT